TCACCATCCCTTAGTTTCACTCCTGATTTATGGTAGCAGTAGTCCAGCTGCTTCACTAAGATAAGAGGGATGGATACACATCCCCTTGAAGATTCACAGAAAAGGAGAAGATGCTCTTGCCAAAACCCTTTCAAACCATCGCTGTTTAACTCTCTCTGTGCTGAATATTCCTCTTTCTTCAGACTGTTCCCCAGTGTCACAAGCCCCCCACCAGTAAACCATCGTATTTGACAAACTTCATGAGGTTTTCTTCTTTCTGCTTTTCACATGAGAAGGGAAGTGCTTTGTAAGCAATGATAACACTACTCACCACTGCAAATGTTCAGTATCTTATTATCTCAATTGCATGGCCTCCACGGGCATGTGGGGTCTGAGGAGTTGGGTTCTGGACAAATGCAAGAACATGCAGATGCAGCCCTAGGTGAGAAAATTAGAAAAGGTGCAATGATGTATAATCAGAAAACTATCAAAACGCACAAAACCCCCACAAAATTTGACAGGATGGGATTTTATTTTTTTTTAAGCTAGAAAAGAGCTTATTTGTTAAAGGCAGTCATTTCACAGCTGTATAATTATGCCTCTATTCATCTGCATACTCCACCTAGTAACTTTTAGACACTAAATTCCATTTTACCTTCGTATCTAAGAAAACATCTCTTTTTAACACAAGATCCCTAATGCATGTTACCTTTCCTGCTCTGAAGCCCTAGCAGAGGCTCTTAACCGGATGGCTGTCAGACAAAGTCCATCTTGTGTGAAGTGCTGACCTTGCCTGATTGCCTGACAGTAAAAAATAAAATGGTTTGGTTTTTTTTTCTTTCTAATTTTACAGCAAGATAAATGCCGTGCTTTGGTTTTAAAGGCAACCCCACCCCCAGAGAACAAGGACACCTCTTTGGCAGTGATGACTCAGCCTAAAAACTGTATTGAAGAGGAAACTCGTCATCCTTTTGTATTTTATTTCTTATGTTATGCTGCCACCATTGGGCCAATTTCATTTGCTCAGTCACAGCCCCGTTACAGTTGAAGCGATCCATCTTCATGCCCCTGGTCAAAGTGTGAAACCATTTTCACAGTATATCAAATTTAATTGGACTTTAATGGTCAAACTGCAGGATCAATTGCTTTCAAGTGCAAACCTCTGCATTAAGGAAACTAAAGTAACTCAAGAAATTTCTAAAATGAGCCCAGAGCAGGAGGACCTTCACTGCAGCAAAGAAGAGATGAAAAAATGTGAGGAGTCTTACTTTTTTCTTTTAGCTACAATTATTAGAATGTAGAGGAAAAACACCTCTCAGGGAGGTGCAGATCCCAAATTGGCAGAAGTGAGCTCCTAAGTCGTTATTATCGTTGCTTGCAAAGGCGTATCGGTAATAGTTACATTCATACTGACACCTCACCTAGCTCTACGAAATCGGTACTTTTCTTGGTGTAAAACAGACCCTGGGGCTTGCAGTTCTTTGTTGCAGGTGATTAAAACCAAGAATACATTATTAATTATGCATTATGCAGCAAGGGCTATGCTGTCTGTGCTACAAGCCAGGTGCAGAACAGGGTCTCATTTCAGCTGTGAACTGGAGTTAATTCTCTACAAAAATCAACTTACTTACACCATGAGGAAGTAAAATGGGTTGTCAATATAGAAACAAATGATGGCTTTAGTAGCTGCCTCCTACCAACAAAGAAGAATTGGATCCCTTCTACCTGCAAAAACTTTGGCAAGAAAAGGACAAGCCCCCCCCCCAGTGAATTTTCTCTCTGCTTTTCCAAGGTGGCATTTCTATTTTCCCTTTCATCTAAACAGAACGATTTGTGAAGAACCATTTGCAGCTCCTACAAAGGAGTATTTTGATTGAAAACCTGGAACCAGCCCCATTCAGGAGGACACAGTTTTCCTCACGTTTCTTTTTTACATAAAGGATTTCTCTAATCGCACGGTTTCTCTTCTCCTCCTTGCTGCATTGGCATGGTCAGGGCTAGAAGCACTCAGACACTCCGCTTCAATTGAAAGGTGGACCTCAAGTGCTGGAAGAGGAATGGGTGGCTGTGAGTGTAATGAGTTAATAGGGCAAAGTCGCTGTTTGGGAGAGCTGGTGACTAGACTGGAGTCCCACAGAAGAGGGAAAGGGTTTTCTTTTCTTTTCAAAGATTGCACTGAAAGTCAGGTGTGAAACACTGCTTTCTCGTTTGGTTTTTGAAGTCTGCTACTCTTTGTTCCAAATTAACTAAAACCTTTCAGTAAGCAGACTGACTGAAGAAACATACAATTATTGAAAGAATTATCTGTTATTGAAAGCACAAACCAAAATAAGGTATGCTCGTAGCACGCTGCCGGTTCAAACCAAACACATCGACTTCACCACCTCAGGCACAGACTGTTTGCAACATAGGCTTGCTCCAGGAGTGATAGTGGATCAAACAACAAGAAGCAATTTGCCCAAAAAGGTGTTTCCAGGTTGCTTTATTTAGGAAAAGAAATGGATATAACCAAATTGCTGCAACTGGTACAAGCGTATTTAATTATAACAACATCTGGGCATGGGTATCACAGGGCAAATTAGATCCACCCTGCAAGTTCCCCAACTTGAACACACTGGGAGTAGGTACTCACATGTGGCTTTATAGCACAACACAAAACATGGCGTAAGTATTACTTATTTCCGTTACTATACTGAACAGAGCTCAAATATGGGTAACGGGGAGGACCAAGGCATGCAGCAACAAAAAGGGAGTGGGGGAGGATAAGTTTCTGCATAAGATGAGGGTAAGGACTTCTGGCTGGCAATGTCTCTTGACAAACACTCGTTTCATTTTACCTAACCAGCTATAGCTTCCTTTCACAGCTGGCTAAACAAGAACAAGATAAAAATCTACTCAGACTAGTCATTATGACACTATTAATAGCAGATACAAGAGCGTACAATGAGCACCAGCGTAGATGTAAGGGGAGTTCAAGTCTCTCTGGAATCAGTATGCAAGCGTTATCCACGGATCTATTACAGAGATGTGCGAAGCTGTTCCCAGATACCAGATTAATAAATGTATCTGTTAAACCAAACAGTTGCATCCATTCGTCACCACGCACAACACAACGGTGCAACCGGAGAGGATGTGATCTTCTTGAACCCTAACACCGCAGCCATCAGGGAGACCTGACCCAGCAGAACCCTGTCGTTTCATAGAGGTCCTGAAAAAGGGCAGCAGGGAAGCCCTCTGCAAGGGGGGAGGACCCCAGGGGCAAATACAAGCTGTACTGTAATTGATCTCACCACAAAAATAGAGCCTAAATGAATGTAAGCAGTGGTTACAGACTTAAAAAAAAAAACAAACACCAAACTAAATCACGCACCTAAGGTGGAGTTAGGTCAAAGTTAGGCATACTAAAACCTCTGACTAAAAACTGTACGCTAAAAACCAGCTGTCTCTGTTTAGCTGTCACCTAAAAAATTAATTACCCAAATGCCTTCCCCTGTGTGGCTTTCAAGTTCCCCAGATATTCAAATTTGTATCCCGGGAATACCACGGCAGGGCTGAGCACCTAGGCGTGTATCTCCCACATAAACTCGTTCAGGATCCAGAAACCGCGAAGTTCCCTGAGGGATGTGATACAAAGAGCTTTCTGGGAGCGCTTCATTCGTTAGTCTGCTAATGAAGATGATCTCCACCAATTCTACAGAAACAAAAACCCTGCAAGAAATGAATTCCAGAGAGAGTCCAAATAATACCATGTTCATAGCCTAGTAGTTAGTGAGGGGCGAGAAGTGGTCCCTGCTTTAGAAAAATGTGTCCATATTTTGCGGGTGAGTGAAAATGAGCATTAAGTCTCCAAGGAAATCATATTAAGCAGTATGTGGAATAGAAAGGGAAGTGGCACTACACCCTAATTCTCCTAAGACGCGTTGAAAAACGTGCTCTGAGAACGTAGCCAGGCGATTGAATGCCCCTCAGCTACAAGCCTGCCTCCAAAGGGGAGGTAATCTTCACCCGGTAGCTCGCACCGCAAGGCTGACGGCCTCCCAGCGAGGGCCCGCACGAAGCCTGCTGGGGCAGGGCAGCGCGCTCGGTCGGCGCTGGCAGGGTGTGCCACCGGCAGAGCCGCACGCCTTCACGGCGTAGCTGCGAAGCGCCTGCGGTCCAGGACACCGCATCAGCGGCCTGTCTGCTGGATCGCGTGTAACATACGACAACGACAGGGGGTCATCACAGGACGCCTTACCGAACACAGACAATGCTTTGGTACAATTTCAACATCTTGTAATGAGAAGCGTCAGAAAAAGTTAAGGCTAATAAAGCAGTGGCACAAGGGCTGGGTAAATGATGCAAAGCCCTTCATCACTGGCCTTCAGAGTAACAAAAAGACACCCCAGCATGCCTTGCCACTGAGATCACAGGGCATGAATACCGTTATACGGGCTCAACTATCAGCAATTCCCTTTCTAGACCCGCTGCATGACTGCATCTTTCCTCACCAGGTTCCCCATAACCTTTCCTTTTAGAGGGATTTTTCACCTTCTTAAAGGGACCTATTAATGTTAATTGGACCAATAAAAGCCAATGACTCTGCTCCCCCTTGAAGCATATCTCCCTTCTCCCCCATGAGATGGTTACCTTATAAAATGGTGGTAGGCTTGGGGCACTGGTTTCATCAGGAAGGTGGAGGTGGTAAGTGCTCCCTTTGTGTATGCGGAATCGAGGTTGAGTTATTTGTTCTCACAACTGGGTCTGAAGTTGCTTTGGGGTTTTTACTGGTGTACCTAAGTTAGTTTTATTTTCTCTCTCTAAATATCGG